CGGTTTAAACACGGGCGGGGGGTCCGCCCCGCGCCTTTCAAACCCCCTTTTTTTGGTTTGGGGGTGTTTTTTTTTTTTTTTTTTTTTTTTTGGTTTTCCTGTGGGTAAATATCCAAGAGCCCTGCTGCTCGGCAGGAGTTTGCAGGCATCAGCATCAACTGCATCCTGCCTTTTTTAAGTCGGGAGACCCTGCTGCGCCAGCAACACGCTGTTCTTATGTATCCTCAGGCAATAAGCAACCACAAAGACAGAAAAAAAACAGCAGAAATGCTATTCAGTTTCTGAGAGGATAAATTCCTCTAATCAACAGAAAAACACGTGTGACTGCATCAGCTCAATTTCTGCATGTTAGAGTTGCATGCGGGGCTGAAATGATTCTCGACTAATTTTGTGAGCAAGGACTCAAACAAGGTCAACTGCTGAAAGAACATTCTCCTCACAGCAGCAATAAAGCCAAAAATGAATATATTCAGCATTTAAGACAAACCTCCATTGTCTGTAAATACATTTTATCCAACTCATAGACTAGTTTTACCTTCACTTGGTTGAAATTTTGCATTAAAAAATGTCCTATTTCTATTTGCTGCCCATTTATTAATTGGTTTATCATAAAGTGAATCAACAGGTCAGTCCTGCACTTTACTGACGTCAAGTAGAAAGGCTGAGCTTTCACACTTTTGCACGCTAAATGAATGCTATGTTGATGGATTTTAGGCAATAAAATGTTTGTTTCCTTATTTGCTTATTGGCAATTAATGTTTAAGGTTGTCGACTATATAAATGATGCATTAATTCCTTAAAGAGAACATGTAGATAAATAGATCTACTGGTACACACCTTTGTTCTGTGTATTCATATGACAACACGGTAACTTGAACAGCATCTTAACATCCAAGCTTCTTCAAAGAGTTGTTGGTACCTGCTGTCTGTCTTGTGCAGGGAATCCCCTCTATGACTTCTTCATTGGGCGGGAGCTGAACCCTCGGATCGGAAACTTTGACCTTAAGTATTTCTGTGAACTCAGACCAGGTCTGATTGGTTGGGTGAGTTCAATGCGACTAAATCATGTTCTGTTTTACTTTTAGATTTTTTATCACTTTTTCCAAAAGCTAGGAAAAAGCACAACTTAAAATGTCTCATACTTTTTTTTTTTTGATGGTGATATATCCAAATGTGATGCAAAAATGTGTCACAAGAGCTAAACTCCCTTTCTTTTAAAACCCAAACTGACCACCGGGTGGCACTGTTGCTCTCCTCTGATCGATTTGCAGCCTTAGTTTGTCGCAACCCAGATCAAAGTTCTGCTGCTTCCCCGATGACCCAGCAGCACAGTACCAGATTTATTGGACACTTTTATCTTGCATCTGCGTCACCAGAGAGAGAGAGAAAAAAAAAAACAGAGAGATTTATTAGTTTGAAATGAAACGTTTTTAATCACTCCACCAGATCCCTTCAGAATAGAAATAAATTAAGATTTAATTACGAAAGGAAAGTGGTGTCCCTCTTTTGTCACGATGTAAACAGTTAAACCTTTGTACATGTGAATGTTTTAAAGCAGCGTGCGTAGGAGAGCAGAAGAAAAACCTTCCACCAACTGGCTCCAGACAATGTGTGGGATCTTTTTTTTTTTTGTCTTTTTTTTACCTCTTTGGAAATGTCAAAACTATTTACTTTTTAGTGTTCAGAATTTTTAAAATCGATGATAACGTCCCAAATTAAAACAGCTAAGTGAACTCACACGATCGTGTACTGACAAATTATAATAATTTATTTACAGTTTGAAGCTACGAAAGATTCATAAGGTTCAGAATAACAAACAATGAGATGCAGAATTACAACATAGTCACGGTTCACTTACATTTCTCATTTGGTTGACAATGTATCAGGGCGAGACTGGAACATTGCGATCACGGATTTAGCTTCGTATCAGGAGGAGAAGCTAAACGATTAGCTTTGGTTGCTAATGCTTTGAAGTAGCTTTTTTTTTTTTTTTTTTTTTTTAAAAATTACCCCCAACTTTTCAAACCCTACCCTTTTGTTAAAAAAAAAACAC